CTAAAACCCTAAACCCTAAACCCTAAACCCTAAAAACCCTAAAACCCTAAACCCTAAACCCTAAACCCTAAACCCTAAACCCTAACTAAAAACCCTAACCGTTAGCATCTTATATAACACCTGCGGAGTTATAAAATATAACTTAATAGCCAAGGGTCTACGGCTAGGCATTACCTGGATAACTTGGTGAGGTCATTGACTTCGTGATGATAATAGTGCGAGTGTTTGGTGTTATAGGATTGAGTATAGCGGACATGGCTGGACAAGCCTAGGCCTTACTAGTACTAGCTGTAGCCATTGAGGAGAAGACGAGGAAAGTGGAGCAGTTATCTGCCCCCTATTGGTTTCCTTCGTCCCCTACCTTTCTTACTGTTTTGTATGCAATTACGGGGTTCCGAGACAATACTGTCAAGTCACTCTCGAGTATCCCATGGGTTCTCTAAGACACGGCGGAATCGATCTCATCCATATATCAACTATGAACCAACACTGCAGATGGATATTTAACATATGCTCAGCCTGCCACTCATTTAATGGACAATCAATCAATTCATTCTTTTTAGTTGATTCCGCTTGATCCTCATTCGCCTGAGCGCATACTAGTAGATACCAAATTACCTCGCCCTGAAAGGAGATTTGAAGAGTTCATGCGACGTATCGTATGATAGATAAGCTTAGCGCGGATTGAGCTTATTTGGTGCCATGGTTCGTTACGCTTCTAGGTTAATCAACAGCAGTACAGCTAGCTAGGAAATCTACTATTAAGCAAAATCTACCAACTTAGCTAGAGACGTACACCCGCAGAAGCTCTAGGCTCTCTGCAGTAGAGGGACCAAGAGATGGAACAGGAAATTATGTACTATGTAACAGTTAACAAGCGGAACGGTCGTGCGGTTGGCTTTTAGAACCTTCTAGGCCGTGTTCTAGTTCCAGACTCCTCCGCGTAACATACGGGTACCATTACTGTAAGACCAGGTATCATTACTGAGTAAGTACAAAAGCGGTAATTTACATGCGATTCATATTAGGATTGGCACATCATATGATTAGGGTTTGAAGGTCTTGCTCTCTGTTTCCGACATGGAAGGCAATAACGGTCGCCACTGTATCTTTCGACAGAGATCGAATAGAACGTCGAGAAGAGGAATGTTGTGGTCGATATTCAGGCGATATACAGCTGCTTTGTTGTGTACCAAGCGGGAACCCTACCCTGACAGATGGCGGACCCACCCGCATAGACCTTGTAGGGAGTCGCGACTCAGCCGATTCGATCCGAGCCACAACCTGGGTCTTGGCGGTTCCAGGTTCCAGGCCTTAGAGTCGCGGTCCGGTTCTACTAATGTTGGAACCTGAACGGTTCGATTCTAATAGAATCGCAGGTTCCACAAACACTGCAAACATATGCATTCCCGTGATGTGCATATTTTATGAAGATTTTGCCTGTATTTTTGAGTATTTAGCTTACAATTGAGTGAGAATGTAGTTACAGCAGATAGGAAGGAGTTAGAGAACAACAGGCGAATAGAATTAAAAGTGAGGTTCCCACTTATGCTAAGGCTTGGGATACTCCCATTCATTGTCATCTCGTTTGGAACGCTTTGGGACCCGCCCTGATGTACGCCTCTCTGCACTACTTTCTCCATAGTGGTCGCAAATATCAGGCAGGGGGATTTCATCCTCATCATCCAGCTCAATCAGTGGCTCCGGGTTCTCTATATCATCTTTCCTTGGCCTTTTACCAAGTGCGATCCTACTAGGTACAGGCAAGGTCTCCGATGTGGCTGCGAGAGCATCTTCGTCGTCACTAATCAGATCAAATTCATCCTTGCACTCCTTAGGCCCCTTAGGCCCCTTTGGTTTCTGGGCATCCTGTTCTTCACTTACTGCCTGTATCTCTTGTGTTGTGAGATACTCCTCAATGAACGCAAGCTGCTCGGATTCAATCTGAAATCTTGTCGTACACATAAAAATCATAAGATCGCTGATTTTTTTGGGCTTCAAGGAGCCTCGGCGGTAATGGCAGATGTCACGAGCAGAGTTGAATAACCGCTCAACACCAGAGCCTGTAGCAGGAATCGAGAGAACGTCCCGTGCGATACTTGCGAGTATAGGGAACTCATGTTGATTATTCTTCCAAAACACACGTGGATTTATCATACGAGTGCCTACGTTAAAGATAAGTAAGACATAAATAACGGATGAGGGGGTAGCTTACTGATCCCAAGATATCGATCAAGTTCACTAAGCCCATTCGTTTGATTCTCGGTAGATACGTCCGGTGTGATAAGGATATCAAGCTCAGAGATCTGCTCTGCCGAAGATTGTCCATTTGCTGTAGGCTGTGACTCCCAATATCGTTGTTGATATGGCTCGAGGTATTTCTCGAGACTCTTGCGGTACTGAGCACGGTATGTCCCTGTCCAATTTTTTCCAGGGAAGAAATGAACTTTAGTCTGTGGCGCTATAATTGTAGCAATCGCATAAAGATCACCATGAATCTCATCGGTCTGAGCATAGTAGTCTGATAGCTTCTGCTTTGCTTGCTGTAGGGCAGACATCATCGTTGTTTTCCATTTCACTTTTTTCCGTGCAAGCTGTGCTATAGACTTTTCAAGATGATCAAAGAGCATATTGTAGATACCAAAGACTATGTGGACCGACACATCCTTAGTCTTTGAGAGGGTGGTTGTGAAAGTAAAGAATGGCTGTGTGATTGTAAGAAGGTAGTCGATTTGTCGCCATTCATCTGGTGAAAGCACGAGGTCCTGGAGATCGTATTCAGGGCAGTATTCATCAAATGTAGCCCGCAGTCGTTTAGCTCGGCGTAACATCAAAAATGTTGAATTCCAGCGAGTTTTAACGTCTTGCATTGGAAGAAGCTTTGGCTCTTTCGCCTGGAGATTCAAGAAGGCCTCTCGGCGTTGAGAGCTTTTGTTAATCCAGACCGCTAGTCGCCGAACCTAGTTTAGCATTAGTATTCAGCACAATATTATAGTCAAGGGAAGATATCATACTTTATTAAGGTAAGCACAATTTCTCGATTTTCTCGCCGGGCGTTATTCTCTGCCTCGATCCATTCCACCTCTTCTTTGTCATTCTTTGGGACCGCTTCCATTTTGCCAAGAAGCGCATTCAGACTGAGTTGAATCACATGTGCCATACAGGGCATACGGATAATCGGCGTCTGATTTGGTAGCTCGAATGACTGGAGAGAATTTTGCACACTTTCAATGAATGTGAAGTTATTAGATGCATTATCGGTAGTCACAGTCAGCACGAGATCTTCAATCCGATGTTTTTGGAGTAGGTCAAGGAGAACCACGCTAAGATCAGAACCTTTATGGGACCCATAAAGTGGCTTAAAGCCAAGTAAGATCTCGCGGTAGTTCTAATCCGCATCGATAAAATAGCCAGTGATAGCTATAAAGGCCTGGCGAAATGGTGACGTCTAGCAGTCAAGCGCGATCGAAAGTTTAGCACCTTTAGGAAGCCTTAGAAGAAGACTCTGCTGGCGTTCTTGAACCATCTCTCGAAGCTGGCGCCGGACGGTGTATGCAGAAGGGATTTCAGGGAAAGATGGGGCTAGCCGAGCTATCTTAATCAATGCATGGAATTGAGGGTGCTCGACTAGCTGAAATGGTAGCCGTAGGGCAGTGATGAACGAGATTACGCCCTCTATCCAGGCCTGATGGGTAAAGGTAGCTTTTTGAGGGGCAGAGTGTGCCTAAGAGAATAGGTTTTAGTAGGGATCAAAAAGATACATAGGTGTCAAAGGGATGAAAGTACTTTCTCCTGTAATAGCGTTCTGATATCATTCCCTTGGGATGATTCCCTGCGGCAGCTAGGCCCCTGAATATGTTTCCTCATAGACGACGTTCCTCGGTGGCCGTCCGCTGGGTGGTGAAGGACATGGCAACATTGTTTACACATAACCTTCGGTGTCCCATCTTGAATACCTGCCACCTGGTGAAAATGCCTCCAACAATCTGCCTGGCGTTTATTTTCAAAGATTGTTCGTTTCATCCGACTTCCAAACTCTGTTTTTCGCCACCACTCGCAGAAGCCATCATTCATTTTCTAGGCTCCAGAGTAGATAGGGTTTCTGTTTTTCCGAAGGGCCAAGGCGTTCTAACGTCGCAGGGATAGGGATAGGTCGCCGTGGCCGTATAAATTCAACGTCGAGCGTAGAAGTAGGGGGCTGCTGGCCGTATAGCGCACCAGGAATGAATGACTGCGGATCATCTAAGGGGAGGAAAGATAAATTTACGAGAGGGTTCCCTTCAAAGATAGATGAGGGATAGCTATCAGAGAACTTGGAGGCTTGACTCCGTGCCTGTGACATAGTCAATATGGTGGAACTCGGGAGTAGAGAGTGGGAAAAGAGACGTACAAGAAATCTTGTGGGCGAGAAATTAGGGAGTTAGCGAAGGCCAGGAGACAGGGCTACTAACTCGAGCTGAGCGAGGGCATAGATACGTCGATTTTAATATAAACCGGCCATTACTCTTGAACTATACTAATTGGCTAGAGAGGCCCACCATCGTCAGGTTCTGTCAGGTTCGAATCGGAGTCGGACCGTGCCGAACCTGACAGAACGGCACGAAGAACCTCGATTTCTCCCGAGTCGCGCATTCAGGAAAACGACAGAATCTAACTAGAACCTACATGAAGGCTTGTTTGTATCTGATTTCGCCTACGTCTGTCAGCCCCTGTTATGACATACCCTGACATGAGGTTATTCCCAAAGTGTTGATGCCTCAGGCTATCCGGATCTGATAAGCCGGAAGGCTTTCGGTGAGGATTCGCTAGGGCTTCACTGCCAACACGTGTACGAACCTCTGCAGGGAAGATCTCTGGGTAGAGGTTACGCAGGCCTCGTGTTTTCCCCGCTCCTATCCTTCTACCCAGGATGCATCTCCTTCCTGTTTGAGCAATGAGACTGTATATAAATTGATCCATGATGAGGAGGCTTTACATTCCTCAAGAAACAGTCTTTGACCTTTCGCACAATTGAATTGGTTCCTCTCTCCTACCTGATTGACAGGCACCTACCCTGACTCGTAGAGTATATTCTTACAGGCGTATACAGGAGGATATTTATACAAAATGAATTCAAAGTCGAGTGAAAATCAACTTGGTTCTCCCCATACATAGGGCAGGAACTATTCTGAGCAGCAAGTCCCTGGTGTCACAATAGTCTCGAGCATGTACAATAGAGAAATACAAATTTCAGCCAGGTCGGCTCTATCAGCAACAGCTAGGCAGCCGCTAAAAACCTGAACCAGGAAATTACTTTCGTTCTCGTCTATCCTGTCCCTCCGCCATCTTTCTCCGACATTCCCCTTCTATTACCAGATGTGCCGAATCCTGCGGGAAGGAAGATTTGATGGGGCAACGCGACGACGGCAACGCACCTAGACGCCAGGGGCACGCAAACCGGAGCAACGAGGTCTGCGGGTGAATGGGATGGGGTCGATCAGGGGGTAATCTGTTTTCGAAATCCACTGTACTCGGTGCTGCTCTCTGAGAACCCAGGTCGATTGCGTGTGACAACAACCAGGGGCTTAAAGTGTTGATGAGCCTTATGGTGGAAGCAATGTAATTTTTGGACAAAATATCTCCATAAGTTATTTGAACTCATAGCCACTGCAATGATTCTTCAAACCTTTCCAGTTAGATAAAGATAAGGACAAATTTTGGTACACTGCAAGCTTTTGGTAACGGCAGAGCAAATCCTAACTTCTCAGTTGTTTGCATCATAGTCCTTAATCAACAACATTGACTTTTGCGGAGTTTTGGTGTGTGCTTCTTTCCATCCAAGAGCTGTTCCGGGGAATTTGTAGAATGCTTTCACATTCTCCACGTCAGAAGGTTGTATCTGAGGCGGGAACTCATACCCCATCACCGAGAGCGGGTTACGTGGACCAATTTGCACAGTGTAGTTGTCTGCATTATCCTCCAGCTCTGGTGCAAACTCATGACGGAGACCCAAGACGTGACCAAGCTCGTGCAAGAAAATATTTTTCAAGTACTGCACAGTGCCTGGTTCGAATGCTGCATTGTATACGTTAAGCACGTTCAGGTCCTCCTCATTCGGAAAAAACGCCTCGGCGAGGACTCCATCTTGACTGCCCGCGAAGGAGAGGACAAATGCAGCATCCTCAATCGTAGCTACCCATTTGAGTTGCACGCCTAGTTCAAGTTTGTTCCATTCGTCAGCTGCTTGCTTTAACGCTTGGGCAGCGATAAGTGCCAAATCTGGCTTCGGGTACCCGTTTGCAAAGGCCGCAAAATTGACGGACTTATTGGGGCCAGTCTTCCAGCGTGGAATAATTTTCCCAAGCCCAACCTGAAGTGCCGCTGTATGGGCACTCTCTTGGAAAGTTGTTGGCATGGGTTTCTGCGTCGCACATGTGTATTTTGCCGGCACTGTGGTAGACGTGCCGGGTGCTGGCTTCAAATTTTCGAGCTGAGAAGCCTCAATGACCGAGGGGTCAAGGGTCTGTAGTGCCTCGGCGCCGACAGCTCCTCTCAGTTCCTGGTAGAAATTGGCCCTGGTAGGGTCAATAGTAGGTTGTTGGTGGGGCATAATGAATGGTTTGGGTGGGCCAACTGCCGTTCCGCACCAGTGTTTCTCAATGTGTTCCAGTTCGATAAGACAATAGTCAATCGTGGTTAACTTGTCTTGTTTAAATCGAAGACTGTTCGATTGAATTGGCCCCTGAATTTATACTCAACAACGCACCAAGTCGCCACCTGTGACAAAGATGCTTCCGTCATGGTGATGCCCCCAAAGTCTCACCATACGCTCCGGACCCAATGCTGGGATCTGAGAAGATCACACGACAAGTTGTCAGCTGAATGTAGAGTATGGCTTGGCGGCGAGGACGAAACACGAACAACAGATGAAGCTGGTTACCGAATTGCAGTCGGATGACCGACGTGCGTCATCTGGCGTACAAGAAATTGACGGCTGTCACCCACTTCCGGCCGCTAATTTCAAAGTAAGTTGAAGGGAAGAGGCTGAGTGCTCGGTCCCCCTGTGTTAATAGATTCGTAGTTTCATGTGCCCACGGCAACTGGATACCTAGGGTGGTGTGGCTGCCGTTTGAGGATTCATGAGCCTAGAAGTATCGCTATTGTCTAAGGCTGTACTATGTTGGACTCGCACAAACTTTGTGGGGATGAATTGCTCTGCCCTTGGGGGTTCGATACCAACCGCGCGGAAAAATTTTGATCATCTTTGGTGGAAGCGCATTCCTAATCCGCGCACATTGTACGCCATCTTATTTGTGGGCTGAACTCACGGCCAAATATTGAACTACCAAACCACGGTTCCGGCCCGGTATATGGTGCCACTGTCAGCCCCAGTTTTTTTTTTTTCTACCAAAGAACCAGGCGAAGCGTCCCAGAGTCTCCGTGGGGAAGCACATAACGGCACATCCAGTACCTAGATTAACGCGGCCGCATGTGGCAGGATCTGATACCCAGACAATGCTTTGATTGGTGGTATGGTACATCATTGACGTAGATTTCCACTAGTATATCTAAACCATAATTCTCCTGTTATATGTTGAGATTGATCATGACGCTACATTGCCGGTGCCGAATTGGTCTTGCGAATAGGAGGTAAGCTAGTCCCAGCTATGTCCTATACGGGAATCATTCGGACCCTTACAAAGTATGGCGAGTATTTTTGACTTTTACTTAGACTTTCCATGGAGAGCCTAAGTAAGCATCCCTGTAACCAATGTGTTCTAGCCCGTTCCACATAGAACGCCGACATAGAGCAGACAATATCCATTGAGCAGTCCAGAGGATTTCATACGTCCTGAGGAAAAAGAAGCAGGCAACCCAGAATTTAGTTCCAGAAGACAGAAAACCTAAACCCGGGCTACGTGGTGCCAGACAGTCTCTTTGCCATGTCGGCCAGAAACGTCAAATTAACAGCTACGTAATAGTTCCAGAATTCAGAGAGAAGCGGAATAAGGCCGCGAAGATGCGAAAGAGACGAATAGCAAATGCTCAGGCAGGAGGGGCAGTTCGCATCATCGCCTACCACGCGAAAGGCCGGTATTGGGAGTTTCGGTTCAACCTCTGCGGCGAAAGCATCGTTATCCCAACTGCTCTGGGCAGGTCATTAGGCCTGCGCTTTAATCGGGTCGTCGATGTGGAGTGGTAAGAACCGGCACTCCAGAAGTCGCAGATGATCTGAGTTCAATGCAAACGGTGGGACATACAGGCGTGTCCAGCAATTTCTCTGAGTATGTTATGGATAGAGATCAGTTCACTTGGCCCGGTGGCGGTCGGTTGCGCCCATGGCGCAAAAGGAGATCCGAATTGGATGGGGTACCGCCACTGCGGTGGTGGGCTTGGTAGATCGCTCTCGGCTTTTTTGGATTCGGGCGCTAGAGATGGTACAGCTGGCATTTTCCTAAGCTAAAGCAGTAGAGATATGCCAGCATTATCGACTATTCGTGGTCATACGTGACACATGAAAGTTTGGTCGATGTTTTGCTGGCGTGCGCCAGTTTATGTTTTGGGCTTTATCGTAAACACACCCCACTTGCAACTTGCAGAGAAACCAGGTGATGTACGTTTCATGGCGACCAGGTCTCACTGCCTCTCGCTGCTGACCCCCAGGGTACAGGGTTCGAATCATATCCCAAGACTGAGGACGCCGATATCAGACCGTTGTGGGGATGTACTTCGATCCAAATTGAATAGAAGGACAGTAATTTACGGGTAGTAATGTCTAATATCCTATATTCTACATCTGATGTTTGCTAACCATAAGAACATGTGCTGATATCACACCCGGAATTAAACCTGAACCAAAGTAGATCCTCCTAGAAGATACGTCATACATGATTCAACATTCCGTGAGTGTGCAGAAACTGCAAAATGCCTGTTTTGGTAATTTTGAAAGATTGAAGAAATATTAGATCTCTTGGAGTCGAGTTCGACTACTACATTATTTAAAATTATCCGTGGCCTTGCTACGACGTAATAATTAGTTCTGGGCATGGCAATCCACTGAACCTGGAACCTTGGCGCAGGGTGCTTAGAGTCATTGAATATTTTCCGAATGCATAGATTTTATAATAGGATTTAACGTCAGGTGGATTGGACTGCAGTTTGAGAAGCTCGGGGCTGTATCTTTCAGTAGTGCGGACCTATAGGTAAAGAATATTTGTAACCAGGAACCCGAAGTTTGTGGGCCGATGATCTTCTGGGCTCTGCCAGCTGCCAGCAGTTAGACTCAGAAGAACCAGACCCCAACAATTATCCGAAATGTGTTAGAGCAGTTGGATGACTATAGCGCTGACCGTGGGCCACTTTATGATCATAAGTTGGTCTCACATAGCAGTATTGATCTTAGGTGGCATAAATTTCATCTGGTATTGATATCATGGTATATACGGTCAATTCCCCTTTGCTATCTTATACCACGTAAGTAGATACCGTGGGTTTGATGTTTGATGCCTATTGCTTAGTCTTCTTGATATCCGGTACTTGATATTTGTGGAGACTCAACCGGAGTATTAATATTTCCGAAGCTGCACAAATCCAGATCGATACCAAATGAAATTAAATATTACCTCATAAGTCAATGTAGGGTACTTCCTTGCGAGAATCTTCTATAGATCCCTACATGACTATTCCGGTTGATGATATGAAATGCTGATCAATCGTTTGATTTGCGTGTGGGAAAGGGTCTAGGCTGCCCCTTTGTCCGAATTTTGCAACCCTGGAGTATGTCAGGTATTATAATTTCATACAATATTTATTTTTCTCCTTACGATCTTCTACGCATTGCTGGCAGATTTGGAATCGGTATGGCTGACTCGGGTGACCAACGGAACCGAACGGAAAACAAAAAGCATATTATCCGAATATGTCGGAACAATACATGACCGTAAAGACTATGTCGCCCATGGACCAATTTTGGTCTAGTAATATTGTGCCCCATGCTTGCTTCGACGGTATCTAGCCACTGATCATTCTATTCATGTTTCGTCTACAAACTGGTCACCTGAGAGTCACCCGTGGCTTTAACCTTGCAAAGGCTAATATAATATAATCACCACTAAACTTCTCCGCAGAACAACCGTGTCCTAATAACCTCTTACGCACAGATGGCGATTGGGAAATTAATGACCGCAAACAGACTGCTCTTAGGAAATAGCCCAAGACCAGAGCCAATGCCGTTAAAGAAGCGCTGTTCTAGCTCTTGGTGATGTAAGTGTCACTGATGCTGTCTCTCTTCCAGCCTAACATATAAGAGATAAATAGACGTCTTGTGTCTCCAGTGATTGTGGAGTGAGTAAAAAACATTATTTGCTTTGTCAAGCCTTTCCAGTTACAATGGCGGATACCAATCCTCTAGGTTCAGAGGACAGCAATTCTCATCTCATTACATTTCGCACAAAACTAGGAATAAACATCGAAAAGCTCCGTGACAAACCGGAAACCACAAAAGACCTTTTATATCCTAGATTTTTGAGGCAAATACGCGTACAGTGGTGGAGCTACTATATTTCCTTCTCGTTCATGCTAGCTCTTTCCTTTTTTCAAATCGTCCTCGGGGTAGCTATCACTGTCCTTACGCCAACGGGAAATCACACAACAGCAATCACTATACTAGGCGGATATACCACTGGAATTGCTGTAATCATTTCGCTCGTCAAAGCTCTCAAATGGTCGGAAAAATCCGCTCTCTATATCTCACAGCTTAGGAAAGTGAGGAATTTTATTGAAAAAGGGGAAAGGGACCTGACTTATCACCCTAAATGGTATGACTCGATGCTGTGTGTCATGCTATCGAGGAATGCCATGCAAGCTATGCGGAAGCAAAGGCGACCATGGGGGACTATGTGGCGAATGCAGCTATACCTGGGGGTGGAGCACCAAAAGAGGGAGATACAGAAAAGGCAAAAAAGGGTGAGGCACAAGGTCAGCATGGCCCGGAACCCGGGCCAAGCACCCTGTAATCGAGCAAGGAAATGGTCAGACTCTCGACGAACGTTAAGTCTGGTCGGTGATGAGGGGATATTTTCGGCATGTCAAGCCCGGCGATTGTTTCTGCGTTAACATTTATTACTAGCTTTCTGGATTAGTCCCGCGCGATCGGAATATATTCAATTCGTATATCGGACGCGAATTATCTAGCTATCAATATCGGCCATAATAAGAGCTCTTCGCAATTTTAGCTAAGTAAAACAAGGTTGATCCTATCATATGCTGCCATACCTTCCGACCAAAGCCTTAGGGTTCAGTAGATAATAAAAGAGTTAAGTGGTGACATCAATGTCTGAAGTATCGGATGACATGATTTGATTTCTCGACTAGTACTTTCCGGCTCCTCTCAACCCAGTATACGGATCTAGGGGAATTTACCTAGAACCCTACTAGAGCGATGGATTCGCATACAATCTATGAATACGGGCGGCTTATTGAATGGTACTTTGACTTGTTTTGGGATGATTGGTCGTTGTGGAATTGAACATATATATTTCATATCCGCTCTGCAAGCCATGCACACTACCGCAGGATCACTACAGCTTAGTGGGGGCGGAGGAGGATACAAGGATGACGGATGCTTTCGGCTTGTTCTTCAGCTTGTTTTTGGGCTTGTGATAGTTTAAAGAGAAGTATGCAGTCTTATGTTTCTTTTCCCCCCTCCGTCTTTGCGGACGGCTTCTAATGGCTCTCTGGGATCTTACTTTGGTAGAGTAGTGAGCTTGCAATGCAGAGATAGTACGGCCAGGGAAATAGTCTATGATATCCTTCCAATTTAACTTCCTTTCCTCTTTCAACTTCACTAATAAGTAGGCTGATCGGCTTGTGCCCATTGACGGCTTCAGAACTCCTCCTGCTTTCTCGGAGTCAGATGGAAGACTGTGCGCGGTTGCATGTGATATCGCGGAGCTGTTGTTGGGGACGAGAGTGAAGAAGAAACTGGGCTCCGACCCCTGGGTCTCAATAGTGAAAAATTTCCCGCCCTACAATATCGTGACTCTCGTAATCCCTAGTCGATAAACCGAAGGACGTTTTATTGAGATAGCAGGGAGCGGTTCTACTTAGAGGACCGTGTTTCTCCTCCACGGAGTCCTCAAAGTCCGAGTATGCATTCAATATAACAGATTTCGGCTTTGAACGCGCATTTCTTATAGACCTAGGCGTGACGGAGGAATAACGACAACGATAGAACAGTGGTGCTCATTACTAATAGTGTGCCGTTTCTTGGTCTAAGACGGTGGATGTTCTTCTTCTTTGCATTTTCTAGGGTTGGCCAAAACGGGGTTCTGGTCACCTTGAACTCTAGGTGTTCCAGGGTGAGAATTATTGGACTCGTGGTGGTAGACCCGTTCGAAATTTATCGAATCGGACATGTTAACGTATAGCGGATCGACCAGTCTAGAAGGTCTAGACTTAGTCACGATTTTTAAATAACAATCTGAAATCAGTCTGATGTAGTTTGCTCCCTTATAGTCATCTAAGGAGTCGTCGGGACAATCCTTCGGGGAAGGAATGCAGGAGCTTATTTCCTTTCGCTTCCTAGGGGCAACATCCGAGTAGGATAGGATGGATGGAGGAGAGCGGAGTGTTGGAAAAATTTTCAGTAAATGAAGCAGACACATCAGATATATTCCCATCACGACCTAGACTAAGTGATTTAAAGTACGCGCGGCATGTGGATAGTATGAATACATCGTATTAAATATGTTTATCAGGTCACGAAGTATTTTGGGATTTTACCATGTCGACATCTACATCGGTATCATTCGACCGAAGCATATGTTTGGTATTGGAGGTAAATAATCATGCAAACTATATTCTACTCGAGCTGCACTATTTCTTGAAAGAAGTACCAACAATATCATACAAAAAATTAGGTGAAACGAACTTCTCGTTGTTGACATAGCGAAACGGGGAACGATGTGTGAAGATACATCTTCTATAGGTAGGAAGGAAGGTAGCGAAGGCTAGAATAAATACTATATTTATGTAAATATTGATACTGATGTCTATAGCAGAGAATTCAGGAGTGGTTTATATCAGTTGTTTAAATCGGTAGATTGGGGAAGTATTGTTATGTTTCCTTTTGATGTATCTTAATATCAGTACTTAGCACTATTACTTGTATCATAAAATCGTTAACCATCAGCATCTGGATTC